GTCCATGACCGACTTCCATCGTAAGTGAATCAGGTAGGGCAATCCATTCCACGCTAGTTCTCCCTGAAGACTCCGTTGGACATTCGTAATCATTTTCCCCATACCGTCACATTTTCATAACTGAGGACAGAGGTGACTATCCGGTGCATTTATGGAGAATGGTAAGTGGCATAAAATGCTTGCTTGTTTCTTTCCTGCTGCGTTTGAGATTATAGGCCAATATGACAGCGAAAACAGCTGCATTTTGGCGAAAAACGCCTTTTCATTGGAAGACCGAATAGCAGTACGTTTTCCTTCGTTCCGCATCAAGGACTGCAATTGATCGTCACAAAGGGGCTATAAAATGTAACCTCTTTTAGGGCAGTTCTCAACGTGAGAAAATTCTTACAGAGGAATCTCGGTCGAGGCGGTGAAAGCCATACTCATTACGAACTAGCCATTGTAAGATCGAAATGAATGGCGTGTGCCACTCTGCAATCGTCCTAAGTAGACAATGAAATTGAGTTCTTTAAGCGGTGCCAGAAAAACTAGGTTCAACTGAAACAAGCATAACGGAACTCAGAGTCTCAATAAAGGTATAACTAAAGTCAATATACAGTAGCAATCTGTGGAGATTCTGAAATCGAGGCAGTGTTGCTTTGTCAGCATGTACCTCATTTGGAGGGACGCATGATTAAGCCATATTTCCAGCATTATTAGAGGTGGATGCACCTGGGATTAAGGACGCTGCAACTAATTGAGTAGATGGAACTGACCAAGAGACCGGTTTTAGAAATGGAGGTTCACCGCCGTTCTCCAGGAAGAAAGGAAACAAAAGGTTTTAGAACTTTCTCTAGTTTCTGATTCTTGGCACTTATATTATCGAAGGACTGTTTTCTTCAACATCGTTAGAAACTCAAGCGTAAAACAAAGATGGCAAGGTTTAACCAAAGGTCTCGTCTCTCAATCTGTAAATCACATTTCACGTAGCAAGTTGCCAACGGTATCGTGGCCCTGACTTCTATAAAAGGATAAAAAGCATTCATTGCACGTTTCATGTCTTGGTACAGAAATATGGAGGGACACTTTTATTAATAGGTTTAACCTCTCGGTTATCGAAACACTCGCTGGGCTGGCGCCGTGGTATTTACGAATTGCATGGGATGCCGTGGCCTTGCATTTAGCTTGAAAGTTCCGGATTGCGGAGGGATGTCCCTGTACTACGACATCAAACCGTCGATAGGTCATAGTTTTATAGATTCTACCACAATCATTGCACTTTACCTTATAAACGACATCGAGGTCACCCGCTAGGTTTCCTTGAAAGAGTTTCATAAAACGAACCATCCCGAATGTCATCATATTTCCCTTGTAGTAGAGCCAAAGCCCCATTATCATTAGATATGCTTTGACTTGTTCTGAAACTTTGGAATAAAATGGAATGACAATAGCGGGCCGATATTCTTGTGGTTTGCTTAAGCCAGAGCTGGGTTGCAGCAGTTCACTGTTTGACAATGTCGGCAAATGCGAGTCTAGAAGAAAGGTTCATGAAGATTTGTCATTTGGCCAAACAATATGATATTTTGGGGACTCCTTATGTTTGTTATGACTGGGATAAGCCCTAGGAGTTATGAAATAATAGCTTTTCAGAAGAAGACATGCTGCTTTGTGTCCAGAAGCTGCCCCTGACTCCCCCATGTGCGAGACCTGACGATCACTGTCATTTACTCTCTTCAGCGTTGATCTCTCCGTTCCATATAACAGTACTGACAAAGTATAAATGCAGTACAGGACTGTAACCTTGTATGCTGCGTCACGTGAATGATCAGATCGTGTGAGAGCGTTCAGAGTGAAAAGGTGAAACCAAGACGAGATATGGGAATGCAGCATTTCGACGTTCTGTGAGTCTCTGAGGAAGCAGACCTGCTTAAGGCCTTCAGCTGTGGGGCCTTCTAAGCGAATATGTCGATGGGAATGCTTTTTTTACTGGTTCTTCTGACCTTCAACTCTAGCCTGTTCGATGCGTCGTGGAACCTTGGGGGAAGAGACTAAAAGAAAGAAAGGAGAGAGCGACGCCAGCTGCGTAATTCATGTTGGTGAAGGTGAAAGTAAAGGCACCAGTACAGATATTCTACTGCTGCGGTGTACACATGATGATTTAGTCGACAACTCGGCAGAACAGCTCAGCCAATATCACTTCTGTCATTTTCTTCATTCTTTCATTCCCTTTGAGTGAGTGACCAAGCTGAGTCGATTCAAGCGCGTCTGGTAGCACCCACCTAATTTTTTTCTCTGAACTTTTACTCACAGTATCTTCTTCCTCAGCATAAGGAAATCAGTCGATGACGATGC